ACCCAAAAAGAAAAAAAAATTCAAGGGTCCAAACGAGATATATATGGAGGCACCGGCATAGAAGACTTTGGCTTAGAGCACGTCATCAGCATAACGCTCCATCAGAAGCTGATGGTCCCAAGTGAGGTAAAAAAAAGTCTAGAGGGGGGGGGGGGGGGTGAATAGACTTTTAAATTTTTTCCTTTTTCAACCCTCTTTCCTCTAACAGAATGAGTTCCAATATCTTTTGAGAGATATTGAAATCTACAACGGAAATCTTGACCTCAATAGTGTGACACTTTATAGTAACAAAGGTTATGACCCGTTTAGTTATGAGAGAGATGGAGTAAACTAGCTACAAATGTGTTTGCCAGAATCAGCTGACTCATGGAGTAGGCTGCTGAAACCTGAAGGACAAACTGCCAGATTACTGGGAGCTGACAGCCGACCTATTTAGGAGCAGGCTACTGAATGTGAGACTACTGCTTCAATGGTTAAGAAACAACAAGGAACTGTAATCTAACACATTGATAGGCTTTTAAAACAGGCTTAACACATAAGTATGAAGGATTTAAACCTATAAAGATAGATCACTTTGATGCACATAAACAAGAAGTTTGATTCACAGTGGACTGGAAAGTTCACTGGGAAGTTTAGTGAGCAAGCTATTTTCTTGGGAAGTTGTGAAGGTGAGTGAGATCTATAATGTGTATTGGGAGCTGAATATAAAAGGTGACACAAGATATATCATGGTTCAGAGGTGGTGTAATCCTCCTACATCCAGTCCCAACCTTTTTTTCATGTGGATTTCCATTAAATGAATATCCCATTACATTTAGTGTTCAATCTATCCTTGGCCCAGGCATATGTTGTGAGGTTTTTCACAAGGAGTTTGAACACCATTCCAAACTACTCAGTCCTCCAAGGTTTTTCACTAATGGCATTGACTTGCCAGAAGCTACTCATGTCCTTGTCCTTCTCACCTTCTGGATTTGAACACAAAGCCCTCCAGAATGTCTAACATAAGTCTAGTTTACATGGGTGAAAACTAAACTACCAACTAATCTAAGCTCTATAGATGTGTATGAATTTGAGCTAGTAAAAAAGCATTAGATGAGTGGGGTGGAAACCAAAATGGTGAAGGGGAATCAACATTTGTATTTGCTAGATGTGTTCGAGTGGCTCTTGACTCCCTTCTATTCCACTTGGCTTCTCCACTTGTTCTTCACACACTCCTTCTATATTTATAGACTGTTGTTAAAGCTCGACCGTTGGCTGAGGAGTTTCAATATCGACCGTTGCTTGATCCACTTGCTTTGTTCCACTTGACTGAGGAGAGCATGGATGGTCTTTGTCCTCTTGTGACACAGACTGACTTGCACTCAACTAGGTATTCCTCATTTCAATGTAAAGATAAAGATGCAATATCCTTAATCTTTTTGTTCGAAGAAATGAGTATAAAAGCTGAGTGTTGTTCAATGCTTCCTTACAATAAAATCACTTGCTTTCAGTAAAATAAGTTTATAAGAAAATTTTCATAATTTGGTAAAAATTTCTTATAAAATTACTTTCTATCTTTTTGTCATTTGACTGCAAGTTGGTCTTTTGTTTAATTGTTTTTGTGCTAAGAGAAGATAGTAGATTTCGGTGGCCTGACCGGGAAACTAAGGTAGGAGCCAGCTGCAATGTTTTTAGTAGGCTACAACTTTTGTGTTTCCAGATGTCTGCCGATTTCACAAAGGGTTCCAGTTGACTCTTTTCGTACTTTTTCTTTTTTATTCTTTTCTCTTTGTTTTTGGTACGTTTCTTCTCTTTTGAGTACTCTTTTTTTTTCTTGAGTACTTTCTTTTTCAATGATAATTAACACATTACAATAAACATAGTAGAAGATAAACAAAGATCTAGTCTAATACATGGATAATAAAAGGGGGTTTGACATCATCAAAACCACATATATATTAATCATCAAGATCTAGGGGACCTAACAGAAGCCTATCATTGGATGACATCATCCCCCGCATGAAAGTGATCTTGAGGGGATCAAGGGTGCCGACCATGATGGAGAGGCCTTTCTGAACTGAGACTTCCTGAGTCTCCCGACCAAATAACTCCTCATCAAATGACTCTCGGGGCAGCGGGTACACACCCTCTCCTCCCGGTTTTGCACGGGATCCGAAGCCGGATGGGCCTCTCGGACAATCATAGCCCTGAAATCCACCTTCTTCCCGATTGCTTTCTTCGGCTTCTTTGCTGGGGGAACCACGTCTTTCCCCGTCCTCTTCTTCAAAGTAGCCGTCTTCGATCCTTCAGTACCAGCACTGATATGTACAACATTTTTGTGCAAAGGGTCACCGTTTTCCTTTGGCGCCGCGCCCTCGTCCTTCTTGAAGAAAGAATCTACAGGTTTCAGCTAAACGACCTCCCTTTTCTTGGTGGCCTTCCCCAACTACTTCCTCATTTCGGCGAACACCTTCGTGTCCATGCTAGCACCTGCATACAAGGAACGGAAGGTCATCGACATAAAACGGAAAAAGTATGCTGAGTATAAATCCACAGAGCCTCTGGCATGGACCTCTGGCCTTGCCATCAGGAGTGGGCACGCTCTCGTAAACCCAATCAATCATTGGGTATCTCATCCTGCTCTCCCAGGAGCTTGTACCTCCGGAAGCCGAGCTTGAATAATTCATCGTGAGCCGTCGCATCCTTGATAGCCACCAGCTCCTCCAGCACCAACTTTTCCCCATCTTTCTCGAATGTAGATTACCCACTTTCGGATGTCATCGAAAGCTATCACAGAGAGGCAACGAGAAAGGATTGTCCACCATCCTTATGTAGCAGAAGTGGGTCTTACCAACCCTTATGAGATGAGGGAACTTCCTTGAACAACCTCCACTCCGGCACTCGCTGAAGGTTAGTGAAGCCCTCACTATTTGTGTGCCCTCCTCCGACATAAGTTGAAACACAAGAAGAAGAGATTGAGGGAGGGCTCCACCCTTAGCTTTGCAAGAAGACAGAAAGACAGATATGTAGGAATGACTGTTGGGAGTCAGTTAGCAAGGCACCAACCCACGGACTGGAGGTACTCCAGCACGAATTGATGTAGCAGAAGTTGAAGGCCCAAGTCCACCGATAGAATGTGGAAAACAAAACACCCCTCCAGGGGGGCTTGATAACACGTCCCCTAGACCAGGCTCCACCACAAGTGCCGATGGGCGACATAGAATTGGGTGACGTGGAAATTGGCATCATTAACTTTCGTTCTCAGCATCAAAGTCGCAGTGTTCAGGTACGAGTGACCCTTGGGGATAGTGATGGGAGGCCCCCATCAACGACCGCTTGTTTTCACTTTGGCTAACCTTTTCCACTACCCCTCTTTATCGGCATTGAGTGCAGGGGACTGGGACATGGCGGCTCGGAAGTCTCGACTTCTTCATCACATCGCAAAAGAGTGCCACCACGGGCTCGTAGACGTTCCTTCTCGTCTTCCAATTCATCCACTTGAACGGCTTCAGCAAGATCTTTGTCTTCTGCCGGTTGTTCAAACTTTTTACCCTCAGCTTCTGTTCGAAGGTGGCTCTCAACTTCCTTCACGAGATCGAAATCAGCTAAAAACGAAGGTTGCGGGCTCAGTGACGTCTCCTTTAACCAGGTCTCTGACTCAATCAATGACAAAGTCAATATGTTTTGTGAATCACTACCTGATGACATATCCTCATTCTTGCTGTCAAGGATGGAGGCTCCTAAGGTGATGCTAAAACGACTAATACTAGATCTAAAGTCTACGAAACAAAATGTATGGAAAACGATAAGAACAGAGGAAGAACCGACCTCAAAAACTTGGTTTGGATCGGCTAAATGTTTCTCTCCCTAAAAATTGGATATAGCTTCGCTTCACAAGTCAAAATCGCGCGAGAAAAATGAATCCAGATAAAGAGTATTTATAGCCAACCTAACCATGGTTAGCCTCTAAATCATCCCAATCAGAAGACCCGCCCACAACGGCCCTATCAGCGCCTAACACGTGACATCTTTTCCAATGGTAACTTATCACCCGTCACTTCATGAGCTAAGGCACCTCTGTCCAGATACACCTCTGGGTTGCACCAAAGGTAGCACATAAGCGATTACAACCGTCGGGCCAAAACACCAAAATCAACACTCCTTTAGCCTGAATTGTCTTCGAACAAAAGGAGTGGGGAACTGCCCATCAGTCTTTTTCGAACAAATTCACAACAATCAAAGGCACGACAAAGCAACTTTTGGATAAAGCAACAAAACTACTCCCCTTTACCGCGAGAGGCTCTCGACAAAGGGAGTGGGAATCCTGATGGAGTATATGACCCAGGACCCCCCAGCCCACATACGCCTAATATCTCAAATGAGCCCAATAACCGTAGCGGCCCAAATATAGCAGCCCAAGTACAAACATCCTTCAGCCCCAAGCCCGAGGGCTTCAAACAATGACAACCCAGAACGGTTTGCCTCGACAAGAGATATGAGTAATTCACATCTCCATCAGAGCCTTTGACAAACAACCTTCAGCCTCGAGGGCGGTGCCATCAGCCTCGATACAAAAAATACATTTCGTCAACCGTTTCTCAACGTTCAACTACCGCATTTAATGCTATGCCACGTGCCTGCCTTCGCACCACAGGGGGACTCTCCGTCATAGATTAGCTTACATGTGTATGTGCATTAAATGCACCAAACATTTATGACTAGTATAAATAGGAGCCGCTTAGAGCATCTCCAGCGGTTAACTAATTTTCTTCGTAGCTTGATGAGCTACATAAGCATTTCTAGCAAAATTGATATGTACTCCAATGGTTAGCTATAACATTTTCATCTTCATTTATTATTAGTAATACTTTATTTAATAATTTCACTTCCTCAAGCTAGTAGCTCATTTAAGCTACTATCTCAAATAAAAGGAAAAGAAATGCTCCAATGACAAGCTATTAACTTTAAAATTGCAAGTAAGTCCTCAAATCAAAGCATTGGAGATTCTCTTATATTAGTTATATAGCTACCAAACTTAAACAAGCAAGGTGGTGACTTTCTTAAGGAAAGTACTCGGTATCTATTTGTGGCTTTCTCTTTTTGAAATTTCCCATGTTTCTTATCAATCACGCGACAACTGGATCATAAGAGTAGCGAGTATAATTAATCCGCGTCTTCTTCTTTTCCTCCGTTTGATCGATTTCCAGGTTTTCTATTCATCTCAGCATGTCTTCGTTCTTCGTATGCATAATCTCTCTTGGATTTGGCCTTGAATCATTACATATCAGAATTAAACCTCTCAAATATCATTCATACATGATTTTGTTTTCTGTTTTTATGCTTTAAATTGGGCTGATTTTTTAAAGCTCTTCGTTTCATAGTTCATGTTAGGTTGTAGAAATTTGGTGAAATTGATGGCTTTGTTTGACTTAATCAGGGGTTAAAGGTGAAAATAGATTCATCATTTGAAGAACCAAGAATGAGGATGTGAATAGTTTTGCTTGACTTTAGAGGGGCTTCTTTCAAAAGAATTCCGTTTTTTGGGGTATTGGAAAGATATCATAAGTGGCCTATGGAATTTTTGTCCATATTTCACTGATATACATCGGATGTTGAGTTTTTCCTGAAGAAAGGATGTACAGCAATTTTAAGGAGCAGGCAGTAGCATATGTGAAACAAGCAGTTGAGGAAGATAACGCTGGGAATTATGCAAAGGCCTTTTCTTTGTATATGAATGCATTGGAGTATTTTAAGACTCATTTGAAGTACGAGAAGAACCCAAAGATCAAGGAGGCGATTACCCAGAAGTTCACTGAGTACCTGAGGAGGGCTGAGGAGATTCGGTCAGTTCTTGATGAGGGAGGAGGTAATGGTCCCACAGCAAATGGAGATGCTGCTGTTGCCTCACGGCCAAAGACAAAGCCAAAGAATGGTGGAGGAGATGGAGAGGATTCAGAGAGTTCAAAGTTAAGGGCGGGGCTCAATTCTGCAATAGTGAGAGAAAAGCCAAACATTAAGTGGAATGATGTTGCCGGGCTAGAGAGTGCCAAGCAGGCATTGCAGGAGGCTGTGATATTACCTGTTAAATTTCCACAGTTTTTCACTGGTTGGTTCTTCAAGCCGTTAGATTTATCACTGCTGTTGCTTTTTTCCCTTCCCTTTTAAATAAGGATATCTCCTACTACTCCATCCAAAATGAAAGTCTTGTTCTATTCTTTTGGTCTCAAAAAAGAGTCTTATTCAACTAATGAGGAACAGAGGAAACTATTTTTTGATTGAACTTAATGTAGAGTATCCAAAAAACACCAGATTATGTTGGAGACTAGACAATGGCAGTCTTAATAATTTCATGCTATCTTTGTTTTCTTTATTTGCATGGACCCACAGTACCCTTGTATTGTGGGACTTCTGTAGTTGCACGCATTACAGTTCAGTTCTCCCGTGCGTTATATCCTTGACATTGGACCTAGTGTGCAAGATTTTCAAATCATGCGGAATTTGGAAACATTGTGTGGACATTGGATTGCCTACTTCTCTTACCAAATTTTCTACAATGGTTTATTCAATGGGGTTGAATCTATGACCACAGGGGCAATAGGCAAGAGCATAGATTCTGCATAATGCCTATTTATGAATGTCATGGAAGCTTCTCCAGAAATCGTACGATGTTTCTCCTATAAAGAAGTCACCTTAATTACTAACTTTTAGGATGCTTTTTAAATGAAGTGAAATTTTTGACAACTAAATTAGGTTTGCAATATTTGGTCCGCTGGAAGTGGGGCCTGCCACCCACTGGTCATATCGGTTAACTAGATCTCTTTGCAGAACCTAAGTTCAGATTAAGTTTATTTAATGCTATCAAGTATTGTGTTACTTTTTTTTCTTTCTTTTAAATAAAAAGAATATAGTAAGCTATCAATGACAACAGAAGAATCGAACATAATTTTTTTTTAAACTATGTAAAATGCACAAAATAATACTCCGTATGCAAGTATAATCCTTATTAATTTAAAAATTTGATAGTTCTTATTCTTTTTATATATTTGAATAGGAAAGCGGCGGCCATGGAGAGCCTTTCTACTCTATGGTCCACCTGGAACAGGAAAATCATATCTAGCAAAAGCTGTAGCTACAGAAGCTGACTCGACCTTCTTCAGGTATGATGAAAATGTGCTTCTATCATCATGTAATACTATAATAGTCTCTAGTTAGGCACGTGTTGGGAAAATTCCTAGTTCTTTTCTTATTTACCAGTGTACACTCGACTAAAGTCATGAATGATGCTCTTGATAAATTGTATCTTACTTGAATGTTGAATCGACTTATAGATTTTTGCTTCTTGTATATATACAGTATTTCTTCCTCAGACCTTGTTTCAAAATGGATGGGTGAAAGTGAAAAGCTTGTCTCAAATCTATTCCAAATGGCTCGTGAAAGTGCTCCATCCATTATCTTTGTAGATGAAATTGATTCCTTAGTTGGCCAACGAGGTGAGGGCAATGAGAGTGAAGCTTCAAGGCGTATCAAAACTGAGCTCCTTGTACAGATGCAGGTGAGTTTTTTTAAATATGGGTAAAACTCTATATTTCTTCATTGAAAATGTTCAATTTCTTTGGGGCTGATTCGAGGAAGAAATCAAAATAATATAATTTCGGAGTTTATATTTTTAAAACAAAAATAAGCAAAATAAACTATTAATAATGGAAGGAAACTCTGTGAACTAGTTTTTCTCTGGTGAAAAGTTATAGCTCTATTTACATCTTTAGTATCATTTATTTTTATAGTTCTAATATCGTGTCCAATATATGTGATAAGACTTGCATTCTTTCCACAGTTTACTTTATTTTGTTGTTACATTTTAGGGCGTTGGACATAATGATGAAAAGGTTCTTGTTCTTGCGGCGACAAATACTCCTTATGCACTAGACCAGGCTATTAGGAGGCGGTTTGACAAGAGAATATATATTCCTCTACCAGATATGAGGGCAAGACAGCATATGTTCAAGGTACAATGAGCTTTCTACAGAGCATCTTTTTGGCATTTTCTTGTAGTTTGTATAATCATTATTATATTGTCTATACAAACAGGTACATCTGGGTGATACTCCTCACAACCTTACTGAAAGTGATTTTGAGCAACTAGCTATAAAAACAGAAGGTTTTTCAGGTTCTGACATATCTGTTTGCGTAAGTGTCATATACTACATTCGTTATCAAATAACTTTCATCAAGTTAATGCATTGCTTCACGTACAAGTGATCATTTACCCCTTCGTTTTTATTTGTTGATGTTGTAGGAGTAGTTAATGAGTAACCAGAGTTTTTACTTAAATTTTTTTATAATTCCATGTCTGAAACACCTAGCTTCCATTAATTGATTCTCACTTCCAACAGATATATTTACTATTTAACAATGATCAATTTCCTAAAGGCATAGCATATCATTGTTTCTGAAGATTTAGTTGATGCAACTTTCCTCTCTGACCTCCCTGAAATTTCAGGTAAATGAGGTTTTGTTTGAACCGGTTCGCAAGACTCAAGACGCTGAGTTCTTTATCAAGACTCGTGATGAACTATGGGTGCCGTGTGGACCTAGGCAGCCAGGTGCCATTCAGACAAACATGCAAGAGCTTGCAGCTAAGGGCTTAGCTTCAAAGGTAATATTACCTTCATCCCACTAACATTGGGACACGGGGATGTGTCACGATTATTACGAAAAGTGTGTTTATGTGAATATGTGGTTGATATTGAATTGATAAAGCAAGAATAAAGTAAGAATAATTTAGAACTACACAAATTTTACCAAATTTGGTATGAGACAATCTTAGCGGGATTTCCCGAAAAGGTAAAATGAGACAATCTTAGCGGAACGGAGAGAGTATCTCATTTGTCCCATTTATGTTTTCCAGGCAGCATGACCAATTTTGGACGATCTGTGTGCTATATCACTCTCTTGTTTGATTAATTTGATTGGTTGCTGTTAGAGCGCGGGAGGCAGTTGGGTCGATGCTCCAGGAGGAGGCAATTGGGCCACTACTTCAGGAGGATGGGCCTCGCCCATTATTGGTTTACCGTCGACGCCAGCGGGCCTAGATGGGCTGGGTTTTATTACTTTATTTCAGTGTTTTGTTATTTCTAATAACTGCTGGGCCTAGATGGTCGTATTTTATTATTAGGTTATTGGTCCTAGATGGCCATATTTTATTATTAGGTTAAGGAGTATTTAAGGAGGTCTTGTGAACTATTATTCATTATCGAGAATAAAGAATTTGGTTTGAGCCTAAGGCTGGGGAGACGTTAATTGTCTGCTAGGGTTTTCTGCTTCTATCAATTTGGTCCGACCTGCCGGATTTCAAGCGTCACTTTGTGATTGAGTGCGATGCTTCAGGTATGGGAGTAGGGGCAGTCTTGATGCAAGAAGGCCGTCCGCTTGCTTATTTCAGTAAATCATTGGCTGATCGCACCCTTACCAAATCAGCCTATGAACGTGAATTAATGGGGTTGGTATTGGCAATCCAACATTGGCGGCCATATCTCGTGGGTCGTCGTTTTACGGTCCGCACCGATCACCACACCCTCAAACATCTTCTCTCGCAGAAAATTGTGACTCCTTCGCAGCAGAATTGGGTGGCTAAATTACTGGGGTATGATTTCCAAATTGAGTATAAACCGGGAGTCTCCAATTCAGCTGCTGATGCACTATCTCGAAGAGCCGAGGAGGGGTTGCTGACAGCACTAAGTGTGTCGGATTGGGCAGGGATGCGAGAGGTGTTGGAGGAACAAGGGCGTGATGAGTTTATTCAAAGCATTGCGACTGCCTTGAAGACTGACCCGGACAGCCGGGTGGGGTTCGAAATAATTGAGGGCAGGCTGTTTTTTAAAGGAAGGTTGGTGCTAGCAGCCACTTCTGAGTGGATTCCAAAATTATTGCAGGAATTTCATGACACACCGGAGGGGGGCCATGCGGGGGCTCTCAGGACGTATCGGCGATTAGCAAGCAGTGTGTATTGGAAAGGCATGTTCCGTCAGGTGCAGAAGTATGTGGCCAAATGTTTGATCTGCCAGAAATCAAAATACGAAACAATGTCGTCCGCAGGACTCTTACAACCGCTGCCAATTCCAGATTTAATTTGGGAGGACGTGGCCATGGATTTTATTACTTGTTTGCCTAAATCTCAGGGGTACACGTGTGTTATGGTTGTGGTGGATACGCTGTCCAAGTATGGACACTTCATTGCGTTAAAACCGCCAATTACAACTCGGTCTGTGGCTGATACTTTCGTGCGGGAGATCGTTCGGTTGCATGGTATGCCGTGATCAATAGTCAGTGAAAGAGACCCGCTATTCGTCAGTAACTTTTGGAAAGAATTGTTCCAGCAGTCAGGTATGCACTTGAAGTACAGTTCTGCATACCATCCTGAAACGGATGGCCAAACGGAAGTGTTAAACCGTATTTTGGAGACATATCCTCGCTGCTTTACATGTGACCAGCCTAAGAAGTGGCTTCGTTGGTTACCTTGGGCAGAGTATTGGTACAACACTGCTTACCAAACGGCTGCAGGGATGACTCCCTTTGAAGTGGTGTACGGCAGGCCGCCTCCATCCTTACGGCGGTTCTTGCCAGGTGAGTGTCGGGTGGCGGCCGTGGCAGAAGTTCTGGGGGGACGGGATGAGTTGCTGCGTCGTTTGAGGGGTAATCTAGAGAAGTTGCAACAGCAAATGATTAAGCAGTCAAACAAGCGCAGGCGAGAAGTGGTATTTGAAGTTGGGACCGTGTCTTCCTGAAAGTTCGACCATATCGACAAACTTCTGTAGCAAAGCAAGCTCATCACAAGCTAGCTGCCAAGTTCTATGGCCCGTTTGTGGTCGAAGGACGTGTGGGTCCAGCAGCCTACCGACTGTCTCTCCCGACTTCTAGCAGGATCCATCCTGTTTTTCATGTGTCGCAGCTACGCCGGGTGGTCGGGGATCATCCCATTGAAACAGAGTTACCGGAAAGTTTGGAAGTACCTATTGGGCCAGTGTTCGAGCCGGCTACTGTTTTGGCTTCGAGGAATGTGCAGGAGAAAGGGAAAGATGTGGAGCATGTGTTGGTGCAGTGGGTTGGTCAGCCGGAAGATGATGCTACTTGGATTGGGGTGCAACAGTTCCAGCAACAATTCCCTTACTTCAACCTTGGGGACAAGGTTGTTTTAGAGGGGGAGGAAATTGTTAGAGAGCGGGAGGCAGTTGGGACAAGGTTTACTCTTAGCTGTTTTAGCGAACATTCATGCCCGGGGGTTAACAATGACCATCTTGGTGGATAGTGGCGCAAGTCACAACTTTATTTCAACAGCCCTTGTTTCCCGACTCAAATTACGAGCAGAAAAGACGGGAAAGTTTGGGGTACAGCTAGGGGACGGACGTCACCAAGAATCGGAAGGGGTTTGCAAAGGGGTGTCAATCTCGCTGCAAGGGTGCCAAATCCAGGCAGATTGTTACGTTTTCCCGTTGGGAGGAGTGGATGTTATACTGGGAGTAGCATGGCTAGCAACCTTGGGAGAGGCCCGGACCAACTGGGATACAATGACCATGTCCTTTGATTGGCAGGGCAGTCAGGTAAAACTGAAAGGGGACCCGGCACTCTGCTGGAAACAGGTGGGACTGCAGGCCCTGCTTCGGACTAGGGATGTGGAATTTTGGGTGATTGTGATGGAGGGAGAGCCCACTACTATATTGAGGTCAAACGAGGAGCAAATCACTAATGTATTGCTGGAGTTTGAGGAAGTATTTAGAGAGCCGAGGGACCTTCCCCCGCAACGACCTACAGACCACCGGATTGAGTTGGCACCTGGAGCAGGCCCGGTATATGTCCGGCCGTATAGGTATGAGCATAGTCAGAAAGATGAGATTGAAAACCTCGTGTCCGACATGCTAAGTGCAGGCCAAGTTCTAGCCGTTCTCAAGCCCGGTTCTCTTGGTTAAAAAGAAAGATGGCAGCTGTCGATTCTGTGTGGACTATAGAGAATTAAATAAAGTGACTGTTCCAGACAGGTACCCGATTCCAGTGATCCAGGAGATGTTGGATGAATTATCGGGAGCCTTAATTTTTTCAAAACTTGATCTCCGAGCCGGTTATCATCAAATACGAGTGGCTGAACGTGATATTTTTAAAATGGGTTTTCGTACTCACAGCGGTCACTACGAGTTTCTAGTGATGCCGTTTGGGTTAACAAACGCGCCGGCCACCTTCCAGTCCACGATGAATGATCTGTTCAGGCCGTTCTTACGAAAATTTGTCTTGGTATTCTTCGATGATATCTTAATCTACAGTCGGACCAAATTGATAGAAGCAGAAAACCCTAGTAGACAATTAACGTTTTCCCAGCCTTAGGCTCAAACCAAATTCTTTATTCTCGATAATGAATAATAGTTCACAAGACCTCCTTAAATACTCCTTAACCTAATAATAAAATATGGTCATCTAGGCCCAATAACCTAATAATAAAATATGACCATCTAGGCCCAGCAGTTTATTAGAAATAACAAAACACTGAAATAAAGTAATAAAACCCAGCCCATCTAGGCCCGCTGGCGTCGACGGTAAACCAATAATGGGCGAGGCCCATCCTCCTGAAGTAGTGGCCCAATTGCCTCCTCCTGGAGCATCGACCCAACTGCCTCCCGCTCTCTAACAGTTGCGCTTCATATTGATTAGCCCTTTATATTGAGCAGAGCCACAATAGAATTAAAAGTCAACATCCATACATAACAAGAATGCACTCTTGCTATAGTGTTATTAGAGAGTACTGCCTCCGTCCCATTTTGGTTGTCCTACTTTCCCTTTTGGGTTGTCCCAAAATGAATGTCTTGTTTCCTTTTTTGGCATGAAATATGTGATTCTTATCAATCACTTTATTCTACTCAAATCTCAACCACAACTTTTACTTTCCAACCACTTTATTAATAATCGTGCCAAATTGAAAGTGGACAATCATTATGGGACGGAGGTAGTACTTTTTAATAATAGGCATTATAGATTTATTTATGTATAAATTAGGTCAAATGCAGGAAAGCGCAATTGAAGAATTAGCAGACATAACTGTTTTAACGGAAAAATTCAAACTTGATACCCAAAAATGAAAAAAAAGAAAACATTTACGCAAAGTCGCTATTAAAAAAATATTGAACATATCCTATCGTGTCACTCTATATATTCTATCTAGTAATCTAACATTTCAGCTGTTTTTTTGCCAAGTACTAATATATGATGTCAAATGCTAGTTTATCTGTCAGTCTGTCACACACTATATAAGCTGTCTGATCCTAATTCTCTTATTACTAGCTTAGCTTATTATCTATCAGCTTCTTGTGTAAAATATAAAAGCAAAGCCTCCAACTTTGGGCAATTAAACATTCATCTACAGGTAACACCACCTCCAATCGCGCGGAGAGATTTTGACAAAGTGCTGGCAAAACAGAAGCCTACAGTGAGCAAATCAGATCTTGAAGTGCATGAGAGGTTTACAAGAGAGTTTGGTGAGGAAGGGTAATTATGCTCTAAGGGAGTTTATTTACTTTTTACTGCTGGTAAAAGTTGTAATCATGATACTGATCCCTATTAATTTGACAACACTACATTTCAATAAAACTATCAACCGCTGTTCCACGGAGGAAAATAGATCTCTTGCAGAGTTGGTGGTAAATGGTAATGAACAATGTATACTGATGTGGTTGGTTTATCTTATAAAGGCTTTAAGCTTAGGTTTGCTGGATAAATCATGTGGTAATGGACATTTGTACATAGGAATGGTATTGATATTATATGTTTTCTCTTTCCAGAAATACCTTTTTTGGCAATCCGTAAGTTGAATAATGTCCCTGCCTAATGTATGAGCCTTATCTTCTATATCTATACTGCTACTAAAACAAAAGTGCAGGTCACATGTAGGGATGGTTCGGTACGGTATACCGAATACTTTCTCTCATACCTTTGCCGCCTTTGCCGTACCAAAACTTTCGGTATACAAAATTTATATACCGACCCCTTACCAAAGTTTCGGTATACCAAAGTTTCGGTTCGGTAACGGTATGATATCGGTAAATTACCATGCATGTCTCACAATACAACAAATTATCATAAACTAATAAAGTATACTAAAACGGTGTTACTAGCGACATATTTAATCCATTATTAAAATGTTACAAAATACAATAAATCATCTATTGATATTATATTCAACATTGGACAATAATCATTATTAGTATATTTAAACAGTTCAACATGTCACGTATTAAAAATAACACATTCTCTTAAAATAACTTGAATAATGTAGATATAATTAAATGAATAGTGATCTTTTACAAAAATAAATAAAATTATTCAAACAACATGGATACAGAATCATTTATCCCTACTAGTTTTTGTCACATAAATATATCCCTCTTCACTCGTCAGCTATTCAGCAGCTCAACCATCGCAACATCCAAGCTCATGTAACAAGATGGACTGGTTTCCGAACATTAGTACATTACTCATTAGTCATTAGAGTTAGTTTGTTTGAATGTTACTTATTAGAAGCCTAGAAGGTTATACTGAGTTTGGGAAATTGGACCTTTATTTCTGTTTTTTAGTATTTGTAACCAACCTAAGTATTAATTTTGGACTTCAAAATTGTAATGGACTTGTACTATATTTTAGAATTTAAAGTAATTGTTGGGTAGGGACTAGGGAGTCGGTACGGTATTATACCGGTATACCGCGGTATTTGAAAACATTTATCGTTATCGTACCGAAATAAATCGGTACGACATGATACCGTACCAATAATGACGGTATACCAATATTCCGGTATTTTCCGGTATTTTTCGGTACGATAAGTGCGGTATATCGATTTTTCGGTATTTTTGCCCACTCCTAATCACATATTCACATGTGGCTTGTTCAAGAATAAGAAGCTAATGTCAAAACGTAACAATTAGATTTCAAAGGTCCCATTGAGCCCCTACCGAACCGAAATAACCCAATGACCTTGGATTAGTGGATATTAAAAAACGATCAATTACGAGCCATGCTACCATTAATTCTTACATTAAATTGCAAATACATGATCTTGGAAAATACATATTCCGGACCAGTTAACTTGCAAAAATCATTTGATGACCTTCCCGATTGAGTTTTTGGCTGAATTTTTTTGTGGATAAACTAGACTTAATGGAGAACATGCCATAAAAATTTCATCAAAAAATTCCACCGGGAAGGCGGCCAAACGCCGCGGTCCGGACGGCGGTTCCTGTCCGGACAGGAATATTTGTCTATATATATATATATATATATATATATATATATATATATATATATATATATATATATATATATATATATATATATATCACGTGTACATCATAATATTCAATTGTGCTACCAAAACAGTGAATTAATACCAATACTTATTTCTTTTAAACGTTAACTCATTAAGTATAAGATAAAATACCCGGTTGTACGGTGAGCATCGTACAACCGGGTGTACCGTGTAGGAACTCATCACGTACATTGTAATCTGGCATGTCCAAGATCAATGTGTGTTTTTTTTTTTTAAATTTTATGGTCATTATACACTATGTAAATTAATCTAGGATTAAATAAGATAGATGTTTGATGATGATGAACGTTAGGAAGTCATCACGGGTTTTTCTGTTGGATATTCAGTGGCATTTTTGGGTATTTGGCCCAATAGTAAATAACATAGTATGGTGGTTGTACAATAGTACACCTGTACACCAGTGCTCTTTGGCTGCAACACTATAAGACACTGCATTTTTCTTTGCGGTAAACTAGCCGAAGACAACCAAAGTGTTTCTTTGACTGCTGGTAACTGAATGCCAAGACAACCAAAGTGCTAGGAAAATGTCAGCTAACTAGACCCGAGCTCCCTCGATTATATTTTGGCGGATTCTTCTTTGCGACATCGACCGTGATCATCCACCCATTAATAATCTGTGGAATTTAATATTGCCAAAGAAATTTAGATGAATAAATGGTACTAGTACTTTAGTGAGAAAACCAGGGACTTCTTTTGGCACCCCACTTTTTCAAATTTGAGTTTGCACCCCATTTTCTAAATCATTAATATTTGCACCGCAATTAGGAAAATCTGCTACTAGCCGTCAAAATTGTTTGAAATTGCACCCCTGAGCTTTGTTCAAATTGTACTTTTCCCCACCAGTTTCTTCCAAGGACAGAATGAAAAATGTTGATGATTTGAAAATGGGATGTGAACTCTAATTTTCCAAAATAATAATAATGAAAATATAGTCATTTGCAGGCTTGCAGCTAACTAACCCTGCCATTCATCTGATTGAGAGCAGCAGTTGCAGCCTCTTCTGTTGTGTACTCCAAAAAACCATAGCCTTTTGACCTCTTGGAAATCTTGTCCACGATTATTTTAACTGTCCAGATTTAGGGGGCTATTATAATGTGTTTGGTCAACAACTCTATAATATTGTTATTACATCGAAAAGCAGAGGAAGATTTACGGATCCCCATGATATTACATTGCGTCAACAGGCTCCCCATACGCAATGTTTATGAAACCATAATCTGAACCACATTTTAAAGTAAAATACCTTCAACAAGCTTCCCATACCCTTCAAACGCTGCACGCAATGTTTTCTCGGATGTATAGAATGATAGACCTGACCATGCATGACAAATCGCACAAATTAGTAGACAAAGCTAATATAACACACCCATTCATTCGCCCATCTCTAACTTGGGTGTGTGGTTTCAATGTAAAGGGTCTATTTGGAACTCTGGAGATACTACAAAAGAAAATAGGGAGGCAAATATATATAGGAAATTAGATAGTAAAGAAAATTTGGGGGAAATATAATATCTGTTCAAAACATGATAAATTTGTTATTTATATTTTTTTCAAAACTTTTCAACTACTTAGTTTATCTATTGAAATAATTATTATAAAAATTTTTAGTTAAAAACATTAATCAACTCCATAGTCCTTTGTGTTTACTATGGTAAAACAAAACACAACAATAGGACTTGGCTTTTTTTTTCCTTTCGGTAGTTTTTTCAGTGTTACTTCCAAATTCCAATAGAATGCGAGAGTTCATTTTCCTTGAAAATCAGAGTTCTTTTCCAGGGAGTAAGGGAAAGGATTGGTTTCCATGAAAAGTGCAACGTACCAGTCACAAAAAGTTTCTTGGTTTTAACATTTGATGTTGAAGAATCTTTGGAATCATCAATATACTTTGAGCTTCCACCTGAGACAATTACTTTGGTTAGGATTCTGGACTTTAAGCTTATAACTGTTTCTATTAGGTAAAGTGTTCCAAATTGAGGCGCATAGGCATAAGGCGGTGGGAAAATGCTGCTTCATAGCTAGGCGTGAAAAAGGTAGCAAACTTGAAAGTTGACACCCAACTAGATATTTCATTTTAGAAATAGGACTAAATTATTGAAAAATGTAAATATTATGTCTAGAATTGTACCAAATTTGTTGGGTACTTATTTCTTTCTTATATGTCATTATAAATTAATAAGCATTAGCAAAATACAAAATGCCTTTTCGTTCATCGACACAGGTCACCTTAGCTCCACATTAGTACTACGTATGATATTGTCCATTTGGGACGAACCCACATGAACTTGTTTTTGACACACCCAAAAGACCTCATATGAATGCAGTTAGATGGACACTTATATTCAAGATGATTCTCCTTTATTTTTCGAATGTGCCACTTGGGTTAGACCCCCAACAAAGGTCAACAATGACAGTGAATAAATTAAGAGATTAAGTTATCATCACAAACCTTTGTAATCTTCCTTATCTGACACAAACTCATCATCTGGGTGGACAGACAAAATTCCCGGTACAGCTGCACTAGATCAATCGAGTACACTTACCAAGATGAAGTTCCACTAAAAACCATCTTCTGATAGTTATTATGTACTACATACCAAATAAAGAGTTCAGTTTGATCAAACGAAACTAGTTTTTAATGTAATTTTTCAAAACAGTCATGGAGGACAAGTCACATACGATAGATTTGGTTACAACAACAAATTAATTTATAAAATATAAGCATAGGTACCATTTATGAGAGTTGTATTCTACCAAAAGTAAAAGTTATATGCTGGGAAAACGTGGCATTTTTTTTCACACAAGTAGTGATAACTAAGGATTCTTACCTGCTAACTCTTGTGCACATTCTTCATCTAATTCACAACAAAATCCATATTCAGAACCCCATAGTACATGATACAAGCACATTTGAGCATCCTTCTCACTAACCAATTAAGGTCATACTGCCTTTAAGATGCCATTGTTTAAATATACCCACACATAAGAGCAAAGAAGTACAAAGAAATAGAAACATTTACACACTTTCGAAGAACTTCTGCTAGAATCTGAACATAATAGTCAACTAATGGTGCCTTTCCAGAGACTTCAACAGCTGGCCTGCTGGTACGGACACACCAGCGTTTAGATGTTCCAATTGGGAATAGTAATGAGCTACCCATGTTTGATAAAGAACTTGGCAGACTGTAATCCTTTTCATTAGAGTTATAACAGGGATCGTGCTTAACTGATAATACATTGGGTAAACCTATGATTCAGAAACACGAATTGAGCATTGACAATTTATTTGTACTAAAGAATGACAGGATAGAAAGCATAAATCCTACAGGAGACTCGAGGTAAAGTAAAACTAATGATTTTCTATTAAAGAATTCCAAACCTGAAGATAAAACACTACCTGCTAGCTTTTGAGCTTCCTCTTCAGTAATGTCGCAGTAAAACCCAAAATTTGCTTCATAAGAAGAAGCATATATACACATTTGAGCGTCTCTCTCACTTTATAAACCAAAGAGAGAAAAAAGAAGAACTAAAATTAATGAAACAGCTTTCCTGAGATATATTCTAACACCCAGACAAGCTTTCAAGTTTCAAGAAATTAAAAAAAAACTGGATAGCCTCAGGAATAATATTACCCCCTTACTATTTTATTATTTGTTCCATATTTCATCTTGAGAAGTGCTTTATTATTTGTTCCAATTTCATTATTGGTCACTTTCACCTCACATTGTCATCTTACTTTTTTTAACTTTCTCTTTCAATTTTCTTCATTTATTCTCTCCTAACTGTTCACTAACTGTGAACATTGGTCTACACTATTCACTAACTGTTCTATTTTCTTCTTAATCCCCTGAAAAATCTATATGAACCATTAATTACTAAAGTGCATATAAAAAATCGACATTAGGACATTATGTATATAGTACTTCATCCGTTCCATTCTAAGGTTCTAGCTTTCCTTTTTGGATGTCCCATATAAAAGTTCCTGTTTCTATTTTAGGAAACAATTAATACTCTTAAATGACAATTTAATCATCAAATATAAAAAAGAATACATCTCCAACAACACAGTTATCATCAATGAGCCCATTATATAATATATCCATCAAAACTATTTCTCCAAATATACTCGAATTACTTTACTTAATTACTATCTAAATAACCGTGCCATTTTGCAATGAGAACTTTTAAGCGGGACGGAGGTAGTAGTGATCTTTTACTTATTATATTATTAATTTCTCTTTTTTTATGTGATTCTCTTTCCTATTGTAGGACTATGAGTAAGATATAAGCCTCATATGCATAATGCACTCTATTTATTATTAATAGAACCAATATAGTCGTGAATTCCATTATACAACTTATGCATTTTAAAGTGTAAGGGTAAATTCTCCCCTTTCCTAATCACTACCACCAAGCATCCCGGGCTGGGGAAATCTGCAGCATTGCGGCAACCAACAATTTAATTCAGAAAGCCTGTAAGTATTTTGGCCATCTTCAAATTCCATGGGGAGGGAACCAAATTTCATGAAACTAATCATTAAGATACAAGTAAATAAATAAAGCATCTTTAATATAATTAGAATGTGATATGGCTGCAGAAGAAACCTGCCCAATACTCTCTCTAGGGTTTTGACATAGTAATTGATGATTTGAGACCTCGAAGTGAAGCCTTGAGGGGGAGGTTCCACGAGAACCATCCAATGTTGATGGGCTTTAGTTGGAGCTCCATAAGGAGAGGGCGTAGAAGTTGTAGGAATTGCTCTGCAGCAAAAGCCATAACTTGATGAAGAGAAGGATAGGACGATATTGGATGAACGACAAGAGTTGGAGATGGCGAATTGAAAATGAAGTGCGGAAGATTTAGCTGAAAATCTTGTGGTTGCAAAGAGGGGAGTTATTGAGGAAGTAAGACTCATTTCCGTTGTAGGCTTAGCCAAACGAGTGATCAGCAAATAGAAGAGCCCCTGGACTCGTGGAGCTCAAGTTTGAACTTAACAAAAGTACTCCCTCCGTCCCGATATTAACTTCCTTCTTTCCTTTTTGGACCGTCCCAAAATAATCTTCTTATTTTCCTAAATGGAAAGTTATCCTACATCAAAACAGTGTCAAACAGTGTCTAAACAGTGCCAAACAATGTCTAAACAGTGCCAAACAATATCTAAACAGTAAAGTCAAATTTATTTCCTAAATATGTGTAGGTCAAAGTATGAATTTAATGGAGGGACGGAGGGAGTATCAAATAAGTCTTGTACTATAAGGAAAATGTAGATTCTCATATTTTTAAAAAAAGTTAATTGAAACTCTAACTCTTAAAACACGTTCAATTGAGCGTTTTAGCTCGTCGGAATCAAGTTTCCTGATTAACCTTGCGTGGCATTTTATATTTTTTTCCCCATCTTTTTTTTCTTTTTGGTTTTCCATGAAAAGCTAATTACTAGATATCTTCTGCCGAATCGCCAACGTACTCCACTATTAAGGATGTTTTCTTTTGCACTGTTTTCAGTCCCAGACCAGACCAGACCAGACTTAAACAGACCAGACCAGACCAGACCAGACCAGACTTAAACAGACCAGACCAGACCAGACCAGACTTAAACAGACCAGACCAGACCAGACTAGACCAGACTTCCGTAGTTATAAAATACACAGAGACCAGACGTTTACCAGACCAGACCAGACCCATTCAGACCAGACCAGACCAGTCCAGACTTAAACAGACCAGACCAGACCAGACTTAAACAGACCAGACCAGACCAGCAAATTTCAGTCCAAAAGAAAACATCCTAACTACTTCGCTGATTGAAACTGCTATTAACAACTCACTAACATAATCCATTATTCTTTAACACCGCTAAATGTCAAACACTACTCTCTTCCGTCTCAATATTAGGGAGATGAATGTAGTATTTTTTTTTGTAAAAGGCCTATATTATAATGAAGAGAGAATTCCCCAAATAGGAGTAAAAACATTTTGAAATTTCAAAATAGGACTATCATATTTTTTATTCCCAGAATATGAGTAAATTTTTGCCAAGTTTGGCATTAGTAGGCTTTAAACATATCATGACATTTTTTTCAAACTTGACAGATTACTCATATTCATGAAATAAAAAAATATGATAGTCCTATTTTGGAATTTCAAAATGTTTTTACTCTTATTTAGTACAATTTCGAACAACTGCGGAAATCAACATTGAGACTAACAAGTGACAACCTCAATTTGATCACTGGTTCTAGCATTAGGCAAAGAATATATCATCCTAACCACAAGAGCAATATGACACACTAACTAGTTGACAGACATGTTAAAATAAAAAGTGATCCACCCAATCTCTAATACTAACCTTAATCGAGAGCTTTATCCGCGAAAGGAAAACAACATAATTAAAGTTCGAAACAAACACACCAAAAACGAGTTAAAAGATTTCAGCCAACATAAACTAAAAACCCAATAAAACTCCTATCTTAACATAAAAAAAACTTGAGTTGCTCACAAAATGAACATAAAAGTTAAATATGACTATTGATGCTAAATCTCAATTATGTTGATTCATTTTTGTGAAACTGTTTAAAAGTTCAAATTATTTACATAAAAAATCAAGCTTATGATTGATGTCTCAATTTATATTAAACTTTGTTTTAATGTACAAAGAGCCTGTAAGAGTCTTACATAAACATAAAATAATATCAGTAATACATTAGTATCGCACCTGTTCCAAATTTCAAGAGACATCCAACTATAAGATTTGACCAAGTTATATCTAATCATCACACACTTCACATCATTATTTATTAAATTAAAAATATTGAATATGATCAAAATATTGATAAGGAATAGCAAAAGATAATTTGATGTGTTCTATAATAATGTCATTTAATTTGTTCATTTGTACTATTTCAAGAGACATCCAATTATAAGATTTGACTAAGTTAAATCTAATCATCATACACTTCACATCATTAATTATTTAATGTAAAATATTGAATATGATCAAAATATTGATAAGGAATAATATAGAGCAAAGGATAATTTATGTGTACTACAATGTCATTTGTTCATTTCTACTACTCCAGCCTACATTTTAACAAATACTACTCCCTCTGTCCCATTTTACCTGTTTTACTTTCCTTTTTGGGTCGCTCAAAAGTAAGTGTCACATTTCCTTTTTGGAAAGAAATATGTGGTTTACAACATGTCACTTTATTATACTCTAATGCATGTCAACCACAACTTTTACATTTTTAATCATTTTATTAAAAATTGTGCCAAAATCAAATGAGACACATAAAATGGGACAGAGTGCACCCCATTTCACTTAATAATCCTTTGAGTTTTCAACTCATTCCCAAATTTTTATACACAAAATGTTATATGATGGGTGCAAACTGCAAAGCCAAAGCTTTTACAAAATGGAGTGCAAAGTCCACTATTATTCAAAAAGTGGGATGCAAGGTCAAATTACCCTATATTTTATTAAATTCATAGTGGGAGTAAACCTTTTTTTGGAAGAAATAGGCTTAAATTGATAACGTATCATTCAGATAGTAGGTAATCCGACAAAAAGATTCGTGACAACCGTCGTCCGCGAACCAGACTCAGAGTTAATCACCTCATAAGAAGCAATATAACTCGCTGATCCATTAATGGACAGAATTGAGCCAAATACGGTTACCTCAATCCTTCCATCACCCACGTCTAAATCCAGACCATCAAAATAATTAAATGCTAAGAAATAAAAGTCTTGCTTCGTCATCCAGCAAGAAGATGCCAAGAGCCTGCACCCCTAGCCTTTTCTGCACTCCGTGGCGGCGGTTCAGGAGGAGGTCGGACCAACAGTACTGATCTTCTTCCTCATCCTGCTTCTTGTTGATCAAACTCCCTGTCATACCTGCGTTTACAAAAACCTGAGCAAAGCAGCCCCGATTTCCTTGCTCGCTGATCCTACACGCCTACCAGAAGCCGACCCTCCGCATGCTGCTTCGCCGAACAGACTTGCCTGACAAAGCTATCCCAACCCATCCACAATCCTGCCGGAGCAAACACAACTGCGACTTCACCGCGCTCATCCTTGTAATACCTGGATCTGCCGAAGAGAATAGTCTGCAAGAATAGCTCCAAAGAGTAGTGCCGAGCTCTTCAAGACTCCTTCAAGCCTTATGAGCAATACCAGAAAAACACCGAAGCCTCTCTGTCCACAAAATCCAAAGGCCTCCAGAAAGCAAAATCCAGCCAAATAACAATCACCTCTGATGACCACCACCGGCCAGAACCCTAGGCAAAAGCCTAGACGTAGTGGGAGTAACCTTAGAAACAAAAATAGTACTCCGTACATTTTGGGTCTCAAATTGCGGATTTTAAAATTGATCAATGATATTCTAAATAAGCAAATAAAAACAAAAAAATAGACTTTTCATATGATTTTGGATAATGTGAGTATCGCCGCTTAAACTTTTTGACATCAGTGAGCATGCAAAAATAATTGAGGGAAAAGTTAACGCGGTTGACTTGGGAATATTCCAAATTATTCTTGTGTAGCCTTTGAGGAGTTGGGATTATTTTATTCTTTTTTGCTTGCTTAAATGCATGAATTATTTATGTTAATTTTGTCTTTTTCTGCTTTGATTCCATTAAAAGCTTACAGAGCCGCCCGCCATAGCCATACCTCAGAATATTATATGCCAAAAACCTCTGTACTTTTGGCTCAAAAAACAGAGTCTGGCAGTATTTAATATTTATGATTGACTTATACTACGTATATGTTGCTTGCTGGATGGTAGTTTCTGAAGGGCCTGGAATTAAGAATCTAGAGGAAGAAGATAAAAATGCTGAAAGTGTTGAAGCCATTGGTGCACCTTCTGGTGCCGCTATGCGTTCACTTGATAGCTGATGCGATGACTAAGTCTGTGCTGGTTGATGTCACCACCTCTGCTCTCTGCCATGGCAAATCCTCCTGCTCTCAAGCTATTTACATCAACGGACTCCAGCAAACTGTACATATTTCTCTCTTCCTTCACCCTCCCCTTCTTTAGTGTGTAAAGATGGTTCCTTTTTATAATATGGTTTTATTGTCAAGAAAGAATCATTTTCTCTGTCAAATCAGTACTCTTACATTCCAGAACTCTTAAACTCACAATATATTATACGCCATGACATATTTTATATGGAGTAATATTTTTTTCCCATAATGTAAAATGTACGATAGTATATGCCTTTGGTGTGAGTTTAAAGAAAATAAGGAATAAAATAGTTGTTTTACAGTTCTAACCATTAAAAAGTCAAAAAGAGAAAACCAGATCCAGAAAAAGTAAAATTTGAAATGATAGATAAATGAATGAATTGGGAAAGTTTTTTTTTTACAGCAATGAATTGGGAAAGTTAGTGAAGTCTAAATTAAAAAATGTTTATAGTTTTTGGACAACCAAAAAGGAAAAATATATCATATAAAGTGGGACGAAATTTGTGATTCCGGTTAACTCTCATCCTTTTTTATTATCCCACCAATTTTGCACTTTCCCTTTTACGTAAAGAATTTATGATTCCGGTTAACTCTCTTTGGCTACACAAATCTCAACCACACAATTTTTACTTTATTAATCCGCGTGCAGGTCAAACTTGACCAAGTTTCAAGGGATGGGAAGAGTAATATTTTTCTATATTATATGAAGTATGATAATAATCTAATGAGAAAAGGGTCATCACTAGGAACAATGTGTGCAGACAACTCTGTGTGCATGAGACTGACAAGTGTACGAAAGGTCTACACAAAAAAGTGTACACCAAACATTTTTCTTATGTAGTTCTCTCCTTTCTCTCTCTTTCCTTTTCTTTTCTTTTATCTTCTATATTTTTCTACGAAGTATATCCTTATGTTATTTTTATCTTTAATCTTTCTTATGTTCTCTTATCTTTTTATCTTTAATCATTCTTGTGTTCTTATGTTATTGTTATCCTATATTTGTATTTATCTTACTCATTTTATCTTACCTTGTCTTTTTTTTTT